AAGTAACGATTGTATGAAGTAGACTTGGACAATAAACAGAGTGTACGATCTATTTCTGTCAATCCCTATGCCTGCCAGGTCGGCACATCAAACGGCACCACTATACGAGGCCCGTTGTCTAGAACGATGGGCATCACTTTCTGGATAGGGGATGGATGTCCTTAGGGAGTATCAAATATTTCAAGTATTTGATCAAGACAAAGCAATTACTCACATCCAGGAGGAGATGGTCCAGAAAGCGGCTCGCGTCCCGCTCTTCCCCGAGAAAGCGGGTAATTTTCGACGTCTGGAACTCCACGCACCAGCCGTGCTGCGGGATGGTTGCAGACATCACGGTGTGAGGTGTGTGCAAGGCCATGAAGTGTGATATCAGTTCGATGTGACAACATTTTCACCCAAGGAAATAGAAGGGCAAAAAATGGCCACCAGCAAGCTCCTTGGTTCACACGCGACAAAACACACTTCGAGGAATAGCATCTGGTCTTGCTTGCACGGTAACGCTTGGGAGTACACGACAAAACGAGAGAGTGTCACCCGACGCCCGCGCCTCATCGGACACGGTTCTCCTGAAGTGTTGGACAAGAAGGAAACACCAAAAGCTGCGAGTGTTTCGATGCTCCAGAGCACTCAACTAAGAGTGGAATGTTCAGCGAACCAAACGAAAAACATAACGAGTACGGCCCGGGTTGCACGATGGAAACAAGGCCAACGTGAAGGACATTTTACCATCGTATAAATACGCGCATGCGCTCATGGGGGGTTCTCTCACGCTTGAATAGGTAGCCCAGCCTGTTTACACCCCGGGGGAACATATACAACAAGACTGCGGTACGGTAGGTTGCGTAAGATACCACCTCCCTCAGGATTAGGGCTGGCGCTAAATTAATTAGGGTTAGGGTATAATTTCAAACCTCTTCTGTTCCAAGACGAAGAGGATGCCCCAACCAAATGAAAGCGCATTTTCGGAAAGCTCTCGATAAGACAGTTCGATTGCCGCCACCTCCGGGACTGCAACTGCCTTCCTGTCAAGTAATCGAGCTTTGACAATCGGTCCAGGGGATGTGATATCTCGTGCAACCTACGGTACATGTGTCTACGCTCACATCGGGGGTCTCCCTTCCCTCCACGTGAATCTCTTGCTCGTACTCCCCGCCTGGGTAGTACACGGCACTCGAATTGCCCCATCCTGTCATGTTGGCGGTTGCACTTGTCATGCACTCCTCCTCCAATTCCAACTCGTCGCAGCCATAGTCGGCATAGAGGCACACCCAAATATCCGGGTACTCGAATACGGTGTTCTGCGGGAGGAGAGGACCACCAGAGCCGTTGCATAAGAAATAAATCGAGCAGAACACATACGGTAAGTACAACCTAAAAGGAACAAGGCAACTCATTCACTCACCAAGCGAATACTGGAGTGCCCCACTTCTATGGAAACTTGGGCGAAAACGTTCCTCACAGTCACGTGCCTGATCCACGAAAGAGTTGGCTACGGCTCATTCGTCCGCCTGAAGTTCGAGGCGCGTGGAGTTAATTCCGGCGCCGCGGAACCGCGTCATTGAGACTTGTGGTGTATGCATTCGTTTCTCATTTCTGGTCGGCGGGAAGACGTCCTTAATGGCCCATACACGAGGTTTCTCGGTGAATGTACTGCCTGTCGTCTGTTTCCCCAGTGGTAACTGGGGTGATGCGTTCGCTGTCTCTCCTTCTCCCACACAGCGCGAATAGTCTCGTCTCATGTACTGGGGACGATACGCCTCTTCTGTGGCAAGGATGTAGGAGCCTTCGGACCGGCCAGCCAGGTTCGGGCCGCTCAGCAAGGCTTCGAATCAGGAGAATTGATGATGAATACTTCGGTGCAAAAGTGAATCTGGAACGAAAAATCTTCCAAGTTTTGTTCGGACCATTGCATCATCGCAAAAAAATGAAGCGACCGTTCCTCCGTTCTATTCCCCCCGTTCGCTTTTGTTCCTTCGTCTACACCCATTTCCGTCGCGAGGTGTTCCGTGTTTGAACCGAAACGCAAATCCGCACTTCGATCCGGCGAACTTGAACCCGTTATATTCGTGTCTCAATCGGAGTGACTTTTGTGTCCACTGTCAACCTAGACCGCTGCATTAGTTCGACAACGAGGTGTTCACTTTCCCTCGCGATCACGAACTCGTCTGGACCACGTCCTGCGAGTGATTAGCAAACGCTTGGTCGACAAGCATGAATGAGCAATTGCCATGCATGGAACAGAGTCAAACATCCAAAAGCCACCTCGTACCGATAGCTCGATGGATGATTCGGGGGCATCGCGCTTGCGAACGGCCTTGTGCAACAGATACGAAGAATCTGCGACAGAGCACAAGACGCCAATTCGTGGTGCGGGATGCAGCAGTAGCGACAACGAACGATTTTCGGCGGTGAGAACGGTCGCAGGTTAGAGCATAGGGTGGCTTGATCAAGACCATATCCATCACCCGATTGGCATATGTATTTCAGCCGGTTGCGGGTGTCCACGATGCTGCAACGTAAGCGATTGTGCTCAAGGATAGGGATGGTGTGGGACACCCTCGTTGGCAAGGACGCAGCACTGTCTCTCTCGGTGAAGTTGAAAGTATTGAGTCCTTCCGGTCGCAGGCCACAACGCCTACAGACCCCACCCAGGGCCGGTTGTTTGTCCTTCACCAAAACTTGAAGTAAGTTCAGATGGCGCCGTAAACGCCTACAGCTTGTTACCACCAACAGACCGTGCAGACTGCAGACACCAGCCAGAGAGTTCCACCATGAACCATATGAGCCCACATGGCACTTGTAGCTGGTCTCACGTTCTGACAAATACATGCGACGACATTTTCGGCCGCACAAACGACAAGCGTACGTCCGCGAACGCAAAATACTCACAGAAAATGATGCCCCCGATGAGGATCGCCCAGAGCGCCACCGCTCTGCGCTTGTGTTGCGGCACGACCTCGTCTGGTTTCCTAGAAGCGTACAAGGTAAGTCACACGTGGCAAATACGTTGGTCTTGGACGAACGACGACCGTAATTGCAAGCTCAAATATTGATACGGCCTCGACGCCTCGAGAACATAAATATCCGGGGGCATACAGGATCTGCATCGGTCCCTCAAGCTTCGACACTCCCACTGCCATCTCCCGAGGGGCCAAGTCGACTCTTCGGTGCGCGAGATCCGTGAACGGTGGAAACCTCATGGGCGACCACCAGGCTTATGAATGTATCCTGAAACTGGAAAGCCCGTGTGACTGCAATATCCTCCCACAGTGCAATTCACAAAGCTTTTCAGTCCTGCAGGTGTGTACTGCGAATTCGCAGAGACTTGATTCCAGGACTTGTGCTTTCGGATGCTTTCATGAATGGTGTGCCGTTCGTTGGCCTATCCTGTGTTAGTATGATGTATGTCTGCCTCACCACATGCCGGTGTAGAGATTTATCCAGCCAGAAACGCCCCCGCTTCACCCAGGCACTGTCGGCAAAGCTGCTGATAGGAGGACAGCGGTTGGTAGAAAACAGAAAACGCGGGGCAGATTGCATCAAGTCAACGTTGGGCGAACTGCTCGATGTCACCCACGACGAGCGTGCATTAAAGGGTCGTCGGATGCGCCAGGAAGGATCGAGTCAATGATTAACTCGCGTAAACTGCTTCACGTTGTTTGGCATCACGTGCCTAGCGGGAGCCATGGACCCTCCATACAATCGTTGATACGTCTCTCCTACGCCCGATACGTTACCAATGACGACTTCCGACTGTTGTCTGGCTAGGGCCACTTTTTTTCTTTTCGGCTTGTTTCGTGCTCCTGTCACATCGACCTTTGTATGTTTCTCTGAGGTCCTTATCTTTGCTCCCTTTGGATGTTGGGTGCTGACCGAATGGGTTCAACAAGCGCGAGGAGAAACGCCAAGCAAGGGCGATGATAACAATGAGCGGTGGTCTGCTCACAGCTAGAAGAGTATCGCCGCCCCGTGTTGCAGCCCAAACCGTGAGCACTCACATAGATACAACCAGAAATACTCATCATCGATCGCAACGAACTACGTTAATCGGTAAGCTTTCCCGTTTTTCTCCATCCTCGGGTTGCCATATCCTTGCTTTGGCAGAGTGGTCACGATTTCGGGAACATTTGGGGTGCTCCAAAAACAACCGCAAAGTGATTGCTCTCTAGACTACACATCATAATGTTCCGCTGTTGTAAGATAACAATTACTGTAGTCTATGTTGGCAAAATGTGGTTTGTTGAGGCTCGCTGGGCTGTTCGAGTCAGTATTTCCTCAGCTACGTGAATTGTTGAACTTTGGGAAACGTCTCCTGGCAGCTGGCAATCAGTTTTAGGTGCTGTACTCTCATGAGCCCCACTCCAGGAGGGATCACGTGCAACACTAATTTCACCGAGTCTTCGCGGGTAGTTTTTGAGCCAAGATGTCCCACGGTTCAGTCTATTTACGAGTGGATGTTGTCTCTGGGTCCTTTCTCCACAAAGAGATCAATACGGTTTGGATGATGCGGCTGCTGCTGTTGCTGCTGCTGCCGCCGTGCTCTGCTGCACCAGTATAATGAAGGGTTGCCGGCAATTATAACTCAATGGTACAGCAGCACAGCACATGCAACTATTCGGCCGAGCGCCAGCCGCGCGGTAACATCTACTTGAGTATGAAACACAATATATCCCTCATGTCCCTATCGTAATGGTAGTATAAAGCAGTATAAGTAGACCACAGCTCACATCACACGCCGGTTGACGAATCGGCCGATTGCACCGGTCAGTTGGGGGGGGCGGGTGTGCGCAATGTGTAACGTCAGAGTCTGTTCACAGCTTCTTTTTTTTTTCCCTTTTTTTATTTTTCGCCAACCAAAGAGGGCACTAATATTGCATTTCTTAATGAGGAGTAACCAGAAACGGGTATACCCGGGTACTTCGTCACTACTTTCGGGTACACTTAGAAATTAACGCGCCTGTACCCCCAGGTACCCCCAGGTAGCCGGCGGCATCTCGAGACTGTCTGGTGTTACCGATGCTGGTTACTGGTGTACCCGGAAAGGATATATCTTGTACCCATAAATGGTCATATCTAATCCCGGCGCCGACGACTCTTAAATTCGCAGGAAAAACCGTATACCGCGCATACCCGCCCGACACACCATATACCGCACACACCTCACAGTAGCCACACAAAACCACCAACGCTTGTTGACGGGCACATTGCCTTCAAGGATATCAATCTCCGACAGCCTCCTCCGTAGATCGCGGCGAAAAACCAACCGCCGTGCCTGGCCCCCGGAGGCAGTTCGTAACCACACACAACACACCTCACCCACGCACCACACGGCGGTCATCATGCTGGGGAGAGGCAAACATTACAAAGACGCGAAAGCCTTAAGGCTAGNATGCTGGGGAATGGCAAACATTACAAAGACGCGAAAGCCTTAAGGCTAGATGTGGCGGCCATGTTCTCGGCAGCTGGCCGTAGCTTTCATTCTGGGAAGGGAGGCGGCAGGCAGAAGAAGTACATCTGCAATGGCGCCGCAGGAGGATGCCAGGCGACCGTGCGCGCCTGCAGGCAGAGGTCGGGAGAGTTCAAGGTGACGTTCTTTATCCCGGAACACAACGAATGCTCTGGCGGCAAGGTCGGAGCGAAAGCGGCTGCGCTCGAGGGCTTCGCCAGTGCCGCCATGGCCAGCAACCCGACCATTAAGGGCACCGACCTCAAGAGGAGCCTGGAGCAGAGCACAGGACTCAGGGTCAGCTACAGCGCGGTGTCACGCCTGAATGTCGCGGCTACGAGGGCATCGAAGGAGCAACTGGAGCATGGGTACCGCATCATGGACTCGTACTGCAGGGAGCTGGTGAAGGACTGTCCGGGATCGGTTGCGGTGGTGGAGGTGGGTGTATTATCAGCGGTGGTTGAATTCGTGGGTAGACATGGCTTGAATGAATGGTGTCTGCTGTGGGTAGACTGCACCTCCGATGTTAGCTCTGCACCACCATCCACATGTACTCACGCAAATGTGGCACTAAATCTGCGATTCTGTTGAAGCAGCCGGAGCTCTGGTAGAAATAGCGGTAGCAGCGCCCCTAAAATGGATGGCCAATGATGCCTCTTGATGCAAACCAAATAAAAGGATGGACAAATAGGCGGGAAAGGTTGGTTTGATTGGAATTTGAATTTGACCAAATCATCTTGTTTTGTGTAAGGAGTTTTGCGTCGTCTGTTGTAGAGACACGTTGTGATTGTTTGAGAGAGTTTTGAAATTGGTTTGAATTTGCAATCGAAGTTATGTCATCCTCCTACCTCCCTTCGATGTGTTTCGTCCTCCCCTGCGCTCCTCTGCACTGCTGTGTCAGAGGGAGACTACCGGCAGGTTCCGCAGTATTTTCGTCATGCTCGGGCGTGCTGCTCACGCTGCGGTGCGAAGCCCGATGCAGGTGTGTGTCACGCAGAGTTGGGATTGGCCCTTTCCATTTTTAATCGGAACACACGTGTGCATATTTGCGCCCTCCTTGTTGCACGGTGCATGTTGTAACCCATTGGAGTATTTATTTGAGGATATTTACTGTTCTAACAGCACGTAGACTACGCTGAATGCAGTCGAAGGGTTGTGTCGAGAGTCATTGTCATTTGCGCGCCCGGAGATGTCTTCACGAGGATATGGTCAACCGTCTGGGGTATAGGCGGACGAACGCACTGGCCCCCCATCACCCCTCTTGTACCTAGTCTAGGGGGGGGGAGGTGTACTCATAGTCGTGCATGCCGTAGTCGTTAGACCATTGACCTCGAATCCCTACAAAGCGGGACGGAGCACGCCGGGTTCTCACCGGACCAGGCTCTCACATCACCACGCGCAAAGCGCCGCGAGGTATTCGGCGAGTTGCATGAAGGGTGCGGTGCATCCTGCTAAGGGTGTTCGGCATCGCGCGCTTGCTTCCTTGCATATGGATGACAGCTGCAAATGACTTGATCATTATTTTCTGGTATTTTCTGGTGTTTTCACTTGCTCTTTGCACTTCCAGAGACAGTTATGAGCACTGTGTAACTGCCTCGAAGGTGCTCGCCCAAATTAACACAACGTGGTGCGATCACTCCCTTTGCGCGGAGTGAGGGTTCCATTACGGTTACCGCAAAAAAAAAACAAGGCAAAAAAAAAATGCGGTAACCTGGTTGTCGAGCTCACGAAGCGATCGGCTTGTTTACAACGTCGTTGCCAAGCGACGAAAACCCAACCCTGGGGGTACCGGGGAGGGTATAGAAAACGATACAGGGATCGACACTCACCACCTTTGTTGCCTTGCTATTTGCGTGGTGCCCGCTTTCCACTCCAACAACCTACGAAACATTGCCGGCATCGATGGAGATCGGCGTCTTGTTGGTGGTATATGTCGAAGACCTAAGTTGTTTCCTTTGAGGCCGGGCGAGACCGGTCCATGCCCCCACGCCGCCACCGCTCAAGATGTTTGTATCAGTTGTATCTCCCTTTTCCCCTGCGCAAACACGTTCCCATTCCTTCGAAAGAGATCGACGCGAAGATCTGCGAAGGTCGTCCGTCGTGTTGAAACCTATATGTTGCCCCTGCCTTTCTTACAGAGCGACGTTATGTATGCATGCCGCCCTTAGCATTGAATTTGCGTTTTGACGAATTGCCTTCACCCTTTCCCTCCTTCTTTTCTCTATAAAAAACGTCCTCAGGTCGTGGGGATGGATGGAGGATACCTCAAGGGAGAGTGGAACGCGATGATGCTGACGCTGGCATGCAAGGATGCCAACAATAAGAACATCCACGTCGCGACAATGATCGGACCCAAGGAGGACACCTCCCTCTACAAGACTTTGCTGCTCAACTGCAAGAAAAATCCGAAGATGAGGGACCTGCTGGAAGACTCGAAAACAACCTTCTTCACGGGCCAGCACAAGGGGGCGACCTGTGCGCTGCGGGGCGAGGCCCCGCTGGCGCAGAACCGGTACTGCTTGAGGCACCTCATACTGAACTTAAAGGAGAAGATTGGCAGCGTGAGCAAAAGTATGATGTTATGTGTTCGAGACGTTGTTGACGAGTGGGGGATGGCTGGGATGTGTGTTAAGAAGCGGGGGGTGCGTGTCTGCGATTAATATTATCAGGCATTTCGTAGGTGTCGTCAGATGTGAGATTTGGTGTTGTCTTGGTTAATCCCTTGCCTTCTCAAAAACCCGGTACGAGTGGTTGGGGTTCGGGGCGGTGTTCTTGAAGCACTCGCTGAGCTGCTTTCCTCCCCTTTCTTTCTCCCCCCCCAAAAAAATAAATAAACCCGGACAGAGTGTAGCATGTACGTGCTGCTGGGATATCTGAACCCTACGGATCGACAGCAGTCACTGTGAGATTAGGCGATTGGGAAAAAAGGATACTCAGGCGCCCCCCCCCCCATTTTTACGCCATGTCTTACACACCCGCGCTTGTTCAGCTCACCACGACATCGTCATCTGTATTGCCGCCAGGAGCGTACCACGAGATGCGCCAACCGAATCTATGTATCGTTTGTATCATGTGCCAGACACGATTGTCCCAGCTGTGCAGCCGTCGATATGTGTAGGGTGAGCAAGTCCATGGCAATCATTCAAATTCTCAGGCACGCTTACACACCAAATTCTCCTCGACTAGCTGCACCCAAGTAGCAAATTGTTCGGGAAGAAACCCCGGGAGATGCGGCGCGACGCGTTTGTTGGGGTGTGAGTACGGCCTGTAGACGTCCATAGCAGAGGCGTCCAGCTTCGACAAAGCCACGTCGTATCTTTATTTTGGAGAAGTAACCCAGAGGAAATGTCAACAATGCCGAAGAAACAGATTGAGCCCCGTCGACCATGTTTTTAGGTACTGCTCAGCCAGTCCTTCCTCGTGTGTGTGGGCGGCTTGTGTTTAGTTTATTGGCTTCGATATTTTGTGCTAGCCGTGGACTTGGACGTTTGGTATTGCTGCATTGGGTGTCGGCAGGTACAGGCGCCACTGCTGTTGATGCACTCGCCGATGCGCTGCGACTCCCTTGGGTGCGTTACTGCTCCATTTTGTTGTGTTTGAGAAGCCCCTCTTAGTTTTGTCCCTTCTCCCTCTTTGGCCCGTGCCCCTTCTCCTCATGTTTTTCTTTGTCTGCCCAGAATGCCAACTCATGGGTATCCTTCGCCGCCAGTGCTCCCACGAAGAAGCAATGAGAGGACATCCTGAAACAGCACGTTCTACCGAGCAAGCCTCGCGCCTATGTCCAGATCATTGACGATTGGAATAGGCATGAGTGGGCTCACTCTGGTGGGCCCCCCGACACCGAACTCCAAGACGTTATCACGAACAACCTTTAGGAGCAAACCAATTCGGTGGTTGGTGTCGAGGTAAGGCTACTCGTTGCACGAGGTACTTCTTATGTGGCTGCCGGGATCGGTGCTGTAAATACGAAAGTACCTATATGCCAGGACGATGTTCGTTCCGTTTGTTGTGCACCATGTATGATCGGTAGCAGTATTGGTCGGACAACGAGCCGCGAAGACTCGAACACGTTACTGTAGATTCCATGTCAGGGACACCCACCCACTCGTTGGAAGGCAAGTGCACCCGTGCGTGGCAGAGAAGAGACAGATGAATAGATGTTTTTCGTTTTTTTTTTTCCTGGAAAGAACTTGAAAATAAGGCTTTTTCGTGGACGTGACTGGACACGAGTACACGTGCGCCTGCCTCCCACGACCCCTCCACCACACACCCCCGCGCATTCGTGCTCGAGTTGTGGGTGCACCCCTACCCCGTTTTGGTGTTTCTCTTGTACCACTGCAACGCCCCGTGTCGACCACAGCAAGTAAGCAAGCATGGTTGGTTTCGTTTCAAGCCTAGCTTGGTCATGTTGCAACTTATTCGGCGATGACTTGTCACAGGTTAGGAAGCTACCGCCATTCGAGATGATGAGGAGCATACTCGCTGATACCGCCAAGAAGTTCGCCCACCGTGCCACCCTCGGCAATGGAGCATGGACTCCCTATGCTGCCGCGACGTTCGAAGACCAAAGGAAGAAGTCCGCCGGGTAAGTGTTGACAATAGTGGAGAATATACAGCCGCGTTTGGGTTTTTCCGTGTATGGGTATGTCCTCGTGTGGTCGAAGGGACAACCTATAATAATCCGTGCAGGACTCTCTTGTACTTGCACGGACGAGTGGTGGGTTGCCAACGGGTGGGAGTTTCATGTCATGTTTGTAGGTGCACGCACGCCGCCGAGATGCACATGTAATGTACTCACATGCACGCCTTTGCCACGCGACGTTCATTATTCCAGGCTCGTCGCCTCCCCCACGGGCAACCAGTTCTACACAGTCGAAAACACCAACCTCGCCACCCTCAACACCCGCGGCAACAGGGTCCTGCTGAGGTGGGGCGAGCCGGTGCAGAAGACGGAGTGGTCCCGCACATGCGGGTTCCCCGCGAGATTCCAGATCCCGTGCTGCGACGTCATTGCCGTGGCTAGAGGTAAGCGATGTACATAGTGGGCACATCACTAGCCTTGTGACCGAAAAAAAAACATGAACGTGAACCTCGTGTTGCCAGGAGCCCTCCGGCAGCACTCTGTGAGTGTATTGTTGCGGAATCGATCGGATCACTTGGGTACTTTTCCGCGTGTTCACCCGGCAAACCTGTTTTTGCGCTGCATGCTTTGCCTCTGTCCGCTTGTCCTTGTGGCGGGTCTTCTGTTTTCTGTGTGTTCATCTTAGTTGTTTTCTGCGTGTTTTTTTTTTTGTTTATCTCCTTTGTCCTGTCTTCCCCGGATAGTGTATTTTCTCTATCTTTGTGGAGTACCAAGATTGAACCAGTTTGTGGAATACCAAGATTGAACCAGGGGATGAACTACAATATCTGGCCTGTGATTGTACCTTTTTTTAGGCAGCGTAGCCTGTGACCACGGGAATCGCTCGGTCAAGTGTTTGATGACACAAGAAATAAGCGGTCTACGTTCGCGCACTTCCAGTTGAACGAACTAGGACCCTTTCTCGAAAGTGATTCACACACCCGCACTCGGTCGCCCCTGTGGTCTAGTGGTATCTTCATAATCCGCTTGTCGCAGAGGTCGTGAGTTCGAATCCCCATGGGGTGAAAAAATTACGAAATTTGCGGGTAAAAGCGAAATATAGCTGAAAAATCGTGAGTACCAATCTTCGACGTTAGCACCGTTGACGAGGGAAAGCGACGGCTGGAGCCTTCTCGCGATGAAATAAAATTCAGCACGCACCGCAGGAGGAAGGTGGGGCATGAAAAGAAATAAAAAGAAGAAAAAAACTACAGCCCTGGTGTTTACCCCCTCCCGTGTGACCCCGGATGGTTGTAGTTGTACGAAAAACTATACTGAAAAGTGTAGTACTCTACATACGCTGAAAGTGTCGTACACGTCTCACCACGAAAAATGGGGGGACTGTCGCCATAATAAATAGGACGAAAACATACACACAAAAACACACACACACACCCGCAACGGCAGCTTCGAGGTCGTGGTTTCATGCGGTGCTTCGGCCACAATACGTGAAAGCCAAAGACTAACCGATGCCAACATGTCTAATGTATTCCTTCTGGTGCTCCATTATTGGAAAACAGGTGGCACGATACTTTGCTTTCGGTCAGTCCGCTGTCGCGCGTCAGTATCCCTTTCGGCCGCAGTCGGCAGAAACTAACCACGCGCTATCACTGCTGTCATTTCGCTCTTCTGTCGTTGTCCATGTTGCCCCCTCCTTCAATACACGCAGAGGAGGACAAGATGGACGCTGTCATGACCCTGATGAACCCGGCCTGTCGCCTCCAATACCACCGCCAGACCTACGGCGACGACGCGTACCAGGTCATGCTGCCTGTGCCGTCCACGCTGGAGGAAGATGACACCCTGCTACCTCCTCTCCCCGTGGATGGTCAGCCCGGCGCTCACAAGAAACTCGGGCCGAAAAAGCTCAAGAGGATCGCGGGGCGCGGGGACAAGTACGCTTCGTCGTCGTTCAACACGCGAGTTTCAGAACTCGGCCCGGCTGCATTCGGAACCACGGCGGCTCCCTCTCTGTCGCAGGGGGGTGCCACGGCGGCTACGTCTCTGTTGTAGGGGGGTGCTATGGCGGTTCCCTCTCTGTCGCAGGGGGGGGCTACGACGGCTCCCTCTTCGTCACAGGGGGGGCGTGCGGGCGGATCGGTCACGGTTGGGGGGATGGTGATCAATTTGACACGCTGAGTGCCGCCCGCCGAATGACGACGTGTGTTGCGGTTTATTCCGACTATATTCCTCTCATGATGTAGCTAGCTGTCGATTCGCATTTTTCTGCGGAAACCGACGCGTAAGTGTTGAATCGAGACGAAGTTACTGCTGTGTTGCCACAACGCCAAATTCACACGATGTACGATTGAATACCTAATCTGCTCAAAAGGTCATTCATGCATGATCGATCCTTTTCTGAGGATTCGTGAGACACACCTACGCAGCATGCAGCCTCTTCACTCCCACGAAAAACACCTGTATGACTCTTATCTGTATTGTTAATTGAGCTACACAATTCTATCGTAAAGAACATCTACCTCTACTCTACAGTGTTGGTGACGACGCGAGGCATTGAGCCTGGGACCGAGTCGACCGAATTGGACTTTGACGGTTGTTGGTGCACGCCACCGCCGTGCGGTCGATTCACACCCAAACATGCACGCACGGAGAGAAGACGGAAATACAAAGCACCTGGCACAGCCAAACAGGTATGCATAATGGCCGTAGCTCCGTGGTCCTAGCAAAATCCCTTGCGGAGCAGCGCGTCCGCGGAACAGTATAGAGGGTGTTTGTGTGTGTGTGTGGTGTTGGGGAAAGAGACAACTGAATGGGTTGGCAATATGTGTGTATATAGCTATCAACAGCGAGCTGCTATCATGTCGCACATTAGAGACACACTCTACTATATCTTGCGAGGGTCACGTCCACACCACCAGCATTCCAATGAGGAAGGAGGATCCAATCGCCATTAGATCGCCATTTGTGGGTGTTGCGCCTCCTATGTGCCCGTTGGCAATTTCACCAGTCAGTCTAATTTCACGTATTTATCGACTCGTGCGCCAACCCCCCTCTCCTAGATAGAGGGGGTCTAACTCGCTCTATCCGCGAGTTAGCTCGCCGTGGTGCTCGTACATTATTAGGTTAGGACAGGGAGACAAAACGGGCAAGACCTGCTTCATGCTTCCGAGGAACAGCAGCACAGCAGCACAGCAGCAGCAGCAGCAGCAGCAGCAGCAGCAGCAGCAGAGAACGGCGGTTGGTTTCGCCGCGATCTACGGAGGAGGCTGTCGGAGATTGGTATTGGGAGGCAATGTGCCCGTCAACAAGCGTTGGTGGTTTGTGTGGCTACTGTGGGGTATGTGCGGAATATGGTGTGTCGTGCGGGTATGCGCGGTATACGTTTTATTTTGCGGGTTTTAGAGTCGTCGGGCGCCGGGATAATATGACCATACCTAGGTACTAAATCGACCCTTTCCGGGTACACCAGTAACCAATATCGGTTACACCAGAGGGTACTATCTCCAGCGGAAGTTGTACCCGATGGAGGTTTCTCCAGAAATGGGTGCAATGGTTTCTCGGCCAATCAGCTGACAGCCTGGGGGTGCAACCGTCTTAACTTCTAAGTGTACCCGAGTGGTGACGAAGTAACCGGGTTTACCCGTTTCTGGATACGGGTCATTTTTCATCTTTACCACCTGCGGGATATTTTACGGAATCGTTTTTTCCTGAGTCCATGGGGTATTATTTACGCGCCGTTTTTTTTTTCACCGATGCGTAATTTAAAACACGGAACCGGTTCCAGGGTTTCCATTGGTTCTAGTCGGCAGAGGCGCGCCTTTTTTCAAAAACCCCGGCAAGCGTCGATGCCGACGTACACACACCGGTCACGACCAAGCGAGAGGCCCGAGGCATACCACAGCAGACGCGATAAACCCACACCATGAACAACAACGCCCTAGCAGCGGCAGGCCGGCCATCTAGAGCGAAATCGGTGCCTCTGAGACTGCAGGATGCAGGTGAAAGTGGTGCTGCTGCTGGGCATGGGGTCGCCCAGACCGCGCCTGCTGGCGCCGCACAGAGGGCACCGGGCGGCATGGCCCGCCAGGCCGTTCACAGCAGGGTTACACCCCATACATGGCGCGGGGATGATGCCGGGCTTCTCGGACGACGCTGCTCGGCAAGCTCGTCAGGCGGCCGTAGCAAAGGTTCTCAACGACAAGCGATTTTGCGACGCCCCACAAAGAAATTGGAGCGAGTCGGAGAGCGGCGACGACAACGACGGGGAGGGCAGCCCAACGTCAAGTGGCAGCAGCAATGTGTCGATAGAGGACAGTTCAGCTCCGTCGGACATTTGCTCACAGTCGGGAGATGTCGTGTTCGAAAAGGAAATTCGGGAAGCAATGACCGGGGGAGGGGGAGCGGGCGCGAGGACCAAGAACCACGGCAAGCGGAAGGCGAGCGCCGGCGGCAGCGTCGTAGGGAAGTACAAAGCAGCAGCATCCCATCACGCGAGTTCCAAAAAAGCCCGGGGCAAGGACTACCCGCACCTGGCCACACACTTTCTGAAGCGGACATGCGCGCACCGCAAGATCCCGAGGATGTGGCAGAGTAGCAAGGATCTCCTGGTGGCGGCCCTGCGATCGCTCGACGCCAACATGAAACGGTCATCTCCGTACTTCGACGACCTCGATGCTATCGCAGCCGGTGAGATGCTGGTCTTGTGTAGATTCGTCGTCAATTAGAGTACCAGCAGACGACACAGAGTATCGACAAAATATAGGTAGTCATGCTGCAGTTGAACGCAGTGTGCGCAGAGGAAACAAAACAATATTACTGCTGTGTGTGTGTAGTGCCCGCTTCAAATCAACCGGTTTGTACAGTAGCACGTACGGCATGCTCGAGAGCTGTTTTATTTGCCCCGGTAGGTGGGATATTGAAGGCGCTCACAGCGTACCACACGGCATGCTTTCTTGACGATATTCAATCGGTGGTGCACCGATCAATACGCTTAATCTTTGGGTGTTATTTCCTCTCACGCCCAGAGGAAGTAAGGTAAGGTGAACGTTGTTTTGTGGAGGAGGTATTAGGAAATGGTAGTTTGGCCAAACTTGGGCGTGTACACCTGAGGCTTCCTCTCATGCGAAGGCGCATTCATTGCCTGGGCCGCTTTCTCATATCCCCAATTTTCGCGCAGGCAAATCTGGATGCGGACGCGGCAGCGAGCAGGAGGAGGGAGAGGAGGAGGCAGCCATCCCTGCGAAAGCAATGCCTACGTTCCGAGGCGTTGTCAACATGGTCGCCCAAGCACGTGACAGTACTGAACCGTTTATATTCGAGGATGTGGACTACAGTGTGGCGAACCTTTTCGACGCCATGGAGGAAGACAAACCGGAACTGGGGGATTCTGCCGGCGGGAGTGCTCCCAATGGTGGTTCGTCGACGGGTGGTGCAGCCGGACCGCACGGGGGTGGTTCCCACGGAGGGAGTGGCAGCATCACGGAGCGCAAGGGCCCACACTGGATGATGCGGCTCGTTGGGATCCCGTGCGAAGACTCCATCCATCCACTTGCCATCAACAGCCGCATGCAGGCGACCCGGCAGGAGCTGGACACCTCAGCAGTATGGCCGCGGAACAATTTGTGGACAGAGGTCACCGACCGCTTCCGAGACCGTGGCCACAATGTGCGTGCTGTGCGTGCTGGGGGTAGGGGGTAGATTAGCACGGATCTGACAAACCGTTGTACAAAAACAGCAGTCGAAGTGAATGTCGACAACACATGATTGATAGTTACTTTTAGCCATGATGCTCAACACCTCATAACGTCCACGAACGATCGCGCCGTGGTTTAGGTAAAAAGCCAATAGGTATCCAACCGCAGGAGCGGGTCAACTTGCTGTTGACGTCTACCGGTAACTCATGTAGTTGGTGCTGACGCCGACGACCATACTGCTGTAGACACTGCTGTAGTTGCTTCGTTGCCAATTATAGTGCTGTGGACGTTTTTCAGGTGAGAAAAATCGTGGACGACGGACAAGTGAGTCACGTCAACCCCAACATCATCCAGCAACCAAACCGCTCGGCGGAAAAGATTACCAATACATGGTCTGCGGCAAGGGCGAATTGGAACACGCCTTATGCCAACTGGACGAGTGAATCCGGCAACAACCAGCCATGGGTTTCATTTTCCCAAGGTAAGAGATGGGTGACGTAGGCCTGGGGATAAAATAGCGTCTGTTTTCTCCAGGAACCTTGGGCGATTTGGTGGCCGTGGCATCAAGTTTGCCCAACCTACTCACGCGTGTAAGTGCTGCTACGGTCGGAGTCTGACATTGCACTTGGAGTTGTCAACAGAGTTGTAAAACGTACTCCCGGGATGGCGTCCACATTGAGGCCTGATTGAAAAGGATTGTCCGCACCATGAACTATTATCGTTTTATCGTGTATTTTGAAGCAAGACCAACCACCTTACCAATTGCTCCAAACAGACCACTCCCCGCCCGCGCTTTGCACGTTGATATTTTCAAAAGGGGACACGGACACGTACATTCTCGGTTGCGCATTCGAGAAATACCCCGAGCTCGACCAAGTGTGCAACAATCTCCTCCCGGAGGACGCTCAGCGAGAGGACGACGGAACCGGAGAGGGCGATGCCTGTACAGGCGGTGCCGAGCGCCGGACGGCCGCCAAGCGGGAGGGCGCGAGGCTCGACGAGCAGAACAGGCGGAGGACGAAGCAGAAAAAGAAGGGGGGTGGGAAGAGCGTGGCAGAGGCTATGTCCGTTGCCATGAAAACCGCACTCTTGGATATTGAGCCGCTCCTGCCACGTGGCGGATCGGAGAAATCTGAGAGGCAACTGAAACAACAGGAAGAGCAAAGCAAGTCTGCTGCCCTCGATACCAAGGCTGCTGCATACGCTCTGCAGAAAGCAATGTGCGCCGACCACCAGAAATATTCGGAGCAGGTTGTGGAAGAGGAGGAAAAAAAGCGGCCGGGTTACCAGGCGAGAATTAATGTCGTGGAACAAATGGTAGCAAAGCTCGAGAAGGAGATGTTTTTCATAGCGTTAAGCACCGAGGATACGTGCGCCTCTGCAAAGACGTGTGGGGTTAGTTGGCAACAACAATTGAGAGGATGCCTTGCGGCAACAAAGGAGTATCAAGGAGAAAATGTGGTTGGAGAACGCCGAGACCGTTGCGGTCCACGGGCAAGCTATTGTGCCGGCAATCAACGAACACGCGGTTGTTGTTCTTTTCGCTCCGCTGCAGGGCTTGCTTGCAGCGAGGGTCGTAGACTCCTTTTTTTTCTTACCGGGAGGCGGGGGGGGGGGGGGGGGGGT